GAGGGAGGGAGGGAGGGAGGGAGGGAGGGAGGGAGGGAGGGAGGGAGGGAGGGAGGGAGGAGAGAGGAGGAGGGAGGGAAGGAGAGAGAGAGAGAGAGAGAGAGAGAGAGAGAGAGAGAGAGAGAGAGAGAGAGAGAGAGAGAGAGAGAGAGAGAGAGAGAGAAGATACAGAAGGCAATCCGACGAAGCGAAACAGAGCAGGGTTTATGCGAAGAAGATCTCTCCCCCTCGTCCCCTGGCCTCTCCCTGAGTCATGCTCGCGAAGCCCTTACATATTTTCCTCCATACCCAGCATAGATGAGCTGATCCTCAACGACGGCGACACAAAAGCACGTTCGAGGGGTAAGAGGAGGTTAATGCGCCCCTCTCCCAGGAATAACGAATGCTGTGCAGAGGAATACGCGTTCTAAGATAAGGGATGCATGGGCTATGGCACTGACGTGGCGCCGCACCCAGAACCAGAGTCTTTCTTTCACTACTATTTCGAACCGCTTGCGTAAAATCTACAGAAAATGGGAAATGCCCAAGTAGATGCTATTCTCACATCCTTCCCACTCTATTTTAATATTATTTTTGGGGGGATATGAAGGTCAGCATGAGGTCAGAGGGCCATGAGAGCCAAGGTCACAGACTGCGGGAACGTGAGCTTCGGGAAGTCGGCACTTCTGAAGGATGCCGCTTCACCCTTCTGCAGACCCAGGTGGCATCTCCGTTCCCCTTTGGATTGGATTTCCACCTTTGTGACCTGTGGGAGGTAAGCGACGATGAACACTATAGCTGTGGATGGAATATTGGTAGAGTGTTGGGAAGTTATTCGGGTGAGGATGCGCATGTGGATACATTTTTGGATCTCGTTGTTGAAATGATATTTATGAGTTTGATCTTAGATAAAGCACGAATTAAAAGCTAGAAAAGATTTACATGAGGGTATGATCAATATGGATATCTAATTCTCGTAATCAAGAACACACACAAACAAGGAGACCCATACACAATGCTGGCGTTTATGTTTATACTGTGCACATGGAGAATTTCATCTGTTGCAGGGAAGGGCGAGCGAAGTTGCAACACTCACCTTATCCCCCAACGCAATCAGCACCACAAAGGAGGCTTCCTCGGGCGAAAAACTGCCGCTGCCCTTCAGAACATACAGGTCGCCCGCTGACGAAACCTTCATTGAAAAAAGAGAAAAGTAGTTGCAGATAAAAAGATCCAAGTATTTAGACGTGGATTTAGACAGGTGTTGAGTCCCATGATCCGTTAAATATCCAATCAAATATTCAATCGAGTATCCAGTCACACTCAGAGGTATTTATTCGCGTATTCAGTCAGTCTTTCAGTCAAGTGTCCAGTGAAACATCCAATCAAGTAATTAGTCAAGTAATTAGTCAAACATTCAGCCAAGAGTTACATGTTTAGAACACAAAAAGCCTTCATCGGCGACAGCGTGAGTCAAACCTGTGTATCGTCGAGCTGAGGCATCATGTTCCTGACGACGAACTTGGCAAGGGCTTGTCCTGCCTTTCTCTCGAGTCCTTCGGGAGGCGCGAGGACTTCTGCGGTGGCCGACTGGAAAGCAAGGGGCGGTTCGGATTGTGGTGGTTAATGGGTCTGATGCCGAGTCGGGTTTTGGAATCGAAGGCAGTTGGATTATTATAATCCTACAGTACCAGTTAATGGTGACTACTATGATAAAAAGGGCGATAGCAACAATACTATTAGTAACTAGTAATGGTGGTTCTCGATATAACACCGACAAATAATAATACCAACTATTACTAATGACACTAACTAATACAAATAACACAACCTAATACTAATAATACCATTACTAACACAAACTAATACTGATAACACCAACCAATGCCAATAGCACAACCTGACATTAATAACATCAAATAATACAAATAGCAGAGAGCGAAATTAATAACGTCAAATAAAACACAGTTCAACCTGACACTAATAACACCAGTTAATACAAATAGAACAACCTGAAATTAATAACGCCAAATAATACTATTAACACAAACTAATACAAATTCTGGCCAGCCTCACCGCCCCCTTCCGAGCGGCTTCTTCCCATCCGCTTCCTCCTTCGACACGAGCCATCAGGTCCCGGGCGAAGGGCTCCCTGAAGAACCACCTCCTGGCGACGCCCTCGCACTCGCCCTCTCCCAAGGCGACCTCCTGCCCCTCTGGCGTCTGGAGGAAGGTGAAGTAGGCGATGAAGTCCTCCTGGTTGCGCTCCAGGTTCCAGACGTCGGGGGTAAATTTCCCTTCGTCGTCCGCCTTCGTCAGGTGGCCGTAGTTCTCTTGGTTGCAAGCGTAGGGGAGGTAGCCCTGGGAAGGATTTGCAAATGCATAGAAACATGGAATGGAAGATTTTGATTAAGGAGTCTTGTATTCTTGTATCTTTAATTTGACAGTTATTTTATATTTGTATATTTAACCGAAAATTATTTCATATAATTTGTATGTTTAAATTGCATCTTCCTGATGT